CATGTAAATTTGAAAGCAAAATATACCATGGATTTGTTGACATTGGGACTAATGCCACTGATGATTTATCTGCTGTGACTAAAGATGCTGTAGTAAATATGGCTGTTTCAATTAATGAGGGGTAGAAAGAATCTGTAGTCTGCTATTTCGTTGATGGCTTGACAGATCAAGAGCATGCTAAGAGTGTGTGTCAGATACATGATGTGAGATTAATAACTGCTTCATTCACTTTTGATGGCCTATCCATACATTTTGCAGTTGGAACAAATATTTGTCATGATAATCTTTGTCCATATTTTTCACATCCAGAAGTTTCAAATACACATGTACGTATACCAGTTATTTTTTATGTGTAACATATTTTAATTTGTGCACAACACATTAGCAAAAGGGAGGGTGATTGAAAGATATTGGTGATAATGTCATAAGATGAAAGTACTTAAAGAACCTTCACCAGCTGCAGAAAGAAATGGAATTAAGATGAAACCAGCACATATTAATTAATGTAAGCAGAAGATGAAAGTCAACTAGTTACCCAGTGTTTAAGTTGAAGTGTGACTGAATACTGAAGTATCGAATTGCACATCACACAGTGTGATGACAGTGATGTAACTATCAGATTTATTCATCTCTTTGACTGCTTTCCTACATTGTGACAAGGGATTCAAGTCACCTATGTGAATTGGAAACAATATTTGTTGAAGAAGATTTTTTTTAGATGTGTACATCATTAGTATAACTGATTTGATTGGTAATTTAATATGCTGTTCATGCAAGAAGATGGGCTTCCTTAGATTTTTAACTGCCATTAAGAGTGTTATATGTATCTTTCAAGATTTGGTAGAGTATGAAAATGTTGCTTTGCATTACTGTTTAACATTAAATTAACTTTGACCACCTTGTGTTATTCTTTGCTACTGTAATAACAATGCAACTGCATAACAGTTCATAGCTTCTTACAAGTGTTTGTTAATGAGACAAAAAATTTAAAATTAAGGTGGTAATTGTAGGAAAGGTGATCCAACAGAAATCCTGGAAGCGTAGTCTGAAAATGGTGTGCAACTAATGTAAAGTAATGCACCCTTTACTCAAATGTATATTCTTACTTTACCCTTCCATCTCCACATGAAACAGAACATGAATATGCTAATGTTTTAAATGTAGTATGACTTTCAGAATACAATAAAGCAGCATTGACCTATATGCTGAGTACATAATAATAGATGACATCAGTAAGGCTACATTTCTCTGAATGTATTGAAGAATTAATTATGATGATGGGAATAAGCACCCTTTTAATGAGATAAAGACAGACTTGGTCGTTTGAAACTCTCAGGAAATATTGTAACAATTTGCAAGGAAACTGAAAAGTGCCTCTAGAGACTACTCACAACAACAGGAGTAAAATCTCCCCAGGCTCAAGGAGTTTACTTTGCTACTTTCATCTTTGACCTTGATTCAGTTGGCCAGAAAGTGTTTAACAAGCTAGATGATTATATGCTGGAATAAGTTTCTGAGCATGTTTATGACTTTGTGAGATGTATAGTATTTCACATTGATAATCAAGAATGAGTATAGTAAAGCAGTTCACAATAAGCATCATTGGAGAAAATATCAGAAAACAGCTAAGTAAAGTTGTTCTATTTAAACATCTAAAATTTGTATTACAAAATGTTTTATTAAGATTACTTTAGGGAAGGAGATTCAAATAATGTATTATTTGTTTAAGCAGCAATAAAATTTTATTTGAAAAAAAAAATGATTAAAATAACTTTACTAATTTCATGAAAATGAGATACAGAGTTTATTACTTGTTTAAGTAGTTAATACTTTATTACAAAATATTTTGGTTAATACAAGTTTAGTAAATGAGATACAGTCTGTATAACTTTTTAAGTACCAGTAAATGTTTATATTACAACGCATTTTACTAGTATTACTTCAGTAAATGAGAATAAGGTACAGGTGATGTATTACTTAATAATCCAAAACAAGTCCAAGATTAATATGACAAATATAGTTAGTTCACAGCTACAAACAAAGTTATTAAAAATCACACATAACTATAATTGTTGTAAGAAGATTCTTCTGTGACCTCTTATACGTATGATAAGTATACAAATAGATGATTTATGCCATAATTAAAAGATAAGAATGATATCAAACTTTATTTTTATTTTTTACCTTTGGAAGTAAACTTTAGGTATTGTTCGTTTGATATAAGACCTGTGTAGTTTTTCCGTAGATTACACATGTAAATTGTGAAGACAGTATTTGAATGATAAATCAACCAAACAGTAAACTGAATTGTGATAGCAGAATGGTATATGAATCACTGCAGTAAACGCATTTCTGCGTAAACCAATATGGTTTGACAGTGAATTCACGTCGTTATCGTTATATATGATCCATTACATTGGCCTATAATATCAAGGTTACAGGGTCCCCTAATAACGTATGAAAAACCAAAAAATTACAGCAGCATTGCTCACTAGTTACTGCTGGGATCGGCATTGTATGTTACTTACAAAATGGGTGATTTCGCCCATTTTTTTGTCACTTCTTTACACTGATTGTTGGAACGTGTAACACTAACAGGCAAAAGTATAAAATCATTCAGTATGAATATATTGCAATTATGTGGGCCCATAATGAATAGTATAAAAACAAGTCGTATTAGAAATCATAACATTTGTTTGTGAGGTCTTTATTATTATATTTAAAAATCACGTTGTTAACGCTTTGGAAAGGAAACCTATAACGATTGTGTCCTGGCCTCGCTGCTAAGTATTTGCTGTAATATTTTTAATCAACGGTTATTTTTAAGGCACGTAATGCTAAAATACATTTGTTTTAAAATTGTTAAAATGTTCTTGTACTAGGTAATTTTATCTATTTTGAATCAATAACGTTTTTTCTTTGAAATCAATATTTCTTGGTTCATTTCTCTATGATGTTTAAAGATTTTATATAAAAGCCCTGGAAAGATAGTTAGTTGTGTTGTATGAAAGGAGAGAAGGTTAGCACTCCCCTTGATAAGGACGGAATGGCCTCTGGGCCTCAACACACATACGGTTAAGGCACTGCCGCCTACTCTGCGGCACTTAACCATATTTTTTTTTCTATTTTACACTGCTTCAATTTTTAGGTAGTTGTAACTAATTTCATAGTATAACAGAAGTAAGCACATATTTTTTGTCATCATTCTTCAAAATCAATACACGTTATTAGGGAGGTAGGATTAGAAATATTCTGTCTTCTTTTAAATATAATAATATTATTTTGTATTTTTCATACACAACTAATCTTTATTATGAACTGCTGTCATGATAAGGAGTTAATGGTATGATGAAGCTTTAAAAACGAAAATTATATATATATATATATATTAATTCATAAATAACCAGTTAGTCTGCTGAACAGTAATGTAGAATTAATTATGATGATATGGTATATGTTATTCAATTACCTTAAGTATTTTAGCTATTAATGATTTTGATTGGTATACAAGGCCTGGCAGTTAGGTCGCTCGACTCGCGATCTAACGGTCGCGACTTCGAATCACAGTTGCCGAGCATGCCCGTCCTATAAGGTTGCCGTATGGGCCGGCCACCTGATTCTAAAACTAAATGTTCTTGGCTTATAGTTGGGATTAAGGTCACTACTGAGAAGAAGAACTGAAAAGTATACAGCAAAACCAGTAAACTAAAATAATAAGTAACTTCGATATTGTCATTTTTTCGTATTAGTGTATAAGAATTATGTACTTTGAAGACAAAAGGAACGTAATGTCTGTGCCACATGTTAACGAGTTAATTAAGTAATAGTTTCAGTGTATTACAGTATTTTCAATAGCGTGTTAGTTGGATGATATGGGAGAATTCATGTGCATTACTATTTTGAGTTTAGCAATGTTAGACAGTTTAATAATGGCTGGAGACGGCTTGAATGGGTAATGAAGAAAAACTTTAATATAAGTTTAACATAACAGCAAATGTACAACGTTTCGACAAGGTTTTGTCTTCATCAGATGATGACAAAACCTTGTCGAAACGTTGTACATTTGCTGTTATGTTAAACTTATATTAAAGTTTTTCTTCATTACCCATTCAAGCCGTCTCCAGCCATTATTAGTCTCAAAGTGGGTTCCTCGTCATCGAATTTAGACAGTTTATTGAATAGTACAATTATAAGCTGAACCTGGCGATCTACCATTCTCAGTAAGGAATGTTTTGTTTTTGAAAAGGTATATTATTTTGATTAGTATTTGGTTAACTTATTTTAATAATTGTAAACAGTAATATAGTTAAATCAAATTTATGTTAAGAGTATTCATTAAGAAAAGGGTCACAGTTTTTGTTTCATGATTTTTTTTTTAGGTTTAAATATGTAATTCATATCGTATAAGTGCAAATAGTCCATTTTCTTTATAGATATAAAACTATGTTAATTTTGAAATTTACACTTAAAAACTTTTATTCAGAAAATTAGCTGAATTCATTACAATAACTGATTCCATTAAGGGGATTTACATGTAAATATTTATGCTTTTATTTAGAAATGATTCCTGCAAGATTTTAATACATAAAGTCGTGAAAGAAATGTGTATTGATCAGAGTATCAAATGATATTTTTCTCGTAATCATTTGATTTTGTTATAGGAACATATCATTGAAATTAATTAAACGAGATATTCAAATATGTACTACTGTATGTCAAGTAAAGACCCAAAATGGAACCAAGTTTGATAATTCACGAAAAAATAGTAAAAGTCGAACTGTACACATTGTTAGCTTTACCCTTTAATTTGAAAAACATTATATACTTTTTATCCTATTGTATACTTTAACCCAAGTTGTTACAAATGTTAATCATATAAAGTTTAAAAGTTTACGTAATCTCTTTAAAAGGTTTATGAAAATAAGAGAAAAAAACAACTTGAAAAACTTGCACTCAGTTTAATATCTAACAATTAAACTACGTTCTGTTTGATTTAACAGGGATTTCTGAAAATATCCGAGAAGGTGAATTGTCATCTGCTTCAGTAAAGAAGAAGAAAAAGCGTCGAACCAAAAGGAGATCAAATTTTTAATTGATATTAAAGAAGTGTAAATATTGTATGGGGAGTTCTACCTAAATAAGTTTTGTCTCAAGCTCAGAGAAAGTTAGATTTTGTTTTTCAAATATCTACTTTGAGATAGGCCTTTGATATGTCATGCACTTTTCCAGATCATTGCTTATACAAATTAGTATTCTGTTTTTTAAAGCCTGAAGTCAATAACCTGTAAAAACTTGAGTCTTTCATTTACAAGGGTACTATTGCTTTATTATACTCTTTTCTAATGCAACTATTTCGTTGTTATATTTTAATTTATTTTTTTAATGAATAGATACATTTTTTCTACTATATAATTGTGTTTAGATAGCAACGTATGATTAACATAACATTTTCTTTGGAATAAATATATTTAAATGAGCCTTCAAAATTTTCAAATCGAACCGATTTTTATAAAGGGCTGAAAATCCTTATTTTATGAACGTACGTTAATGTGAATATAGTGTTCCCAATGTAAAAGGAATACGTATCAGCTTAGAGGCGTTTTTAACACTTCAAACTAATCGGTGCAATTTTCTTAGAGGGCCCGTCCGTACTGGTCAGCTATAGGTGTAGAAATGTGTAAGTTTTTTTTTGTTTTTGCATTACTTTGGGGGCCCGCAATATGAGGGGCCCGTCGGTGCTTTGCCCCGATTCCATCGACGTTAAATACGTCACTATATCAGCTACTATTTCATTCACTTATGGACAGATTATGTATTTTGGTACGTGTATTTTGATAAATAAATGTTTGCTGTAGGTATTTATTCATGTGTCTTCAGCTGTCAATCTGCTGATTCAGTTTGTAATTGCAAGAATAAAACATTGTGTAGGTATATCTCAGTGTACTTTTGCTTCAGTTGTAGTATTCGAAACTGTCAACATATTGTTACGTCTCCGTTCGTTAATTAATTTTCCGTAACTTCGTTCCGACGAAACTTTAGCGACACAAGTCCTTACTTAATAAAACTGGTTTATTCTTTCTGAATATAACTTTACCGATACACTTATCTTCAACAGTCGCTCTTTTACAAACGCGAGAACGTCTCACGTGCTCGTGCTCGACAATACTTAGTTCAGTTACTCACTACCTACACACACATTGTCCCGTCACGTTGTGACCATCTTATATATACCAGCC